ATTGAACTTTGATTCATCCTCTTAGGAATTACTGACCCATTTTTCCATTCTATTTCTTGATGAAAATCAGCGATGTTCATTTTATTTTATTGTTACTGCTGCAAACTCTTTTCAGATAATGGTACACTCCTCACCATCCCAGTGAATCTAATATGAATGCAAGATGTCATTGGGTAAACACTTTAGAAACTAATTTTATCATTTCCTAATGAATTTATTTTTAATGTAAATGTTATGAGTTTATGGTACTTTTAGTGAAGAAATGACGATATGATACTGAAATACAGAGTTTTAGAGAGTTGAGACTGGAGAGGGGTTCAGCACAGCAAAAAATAATGAGTTGAAATCGTTATAATATTTTTATCACTTACACCAATATAGAACTGATGAAGAGATATTGTGATGTGCCAATCAGGCTTTAATAGAAGATGATGTATGTTCATTGATCAAAGTCCGAAAATCAACCTGGAAATAGAATTCTGAGAAAAAACATATTTCCCGTGATCTTATTAATTTAATCCTACTTTCATGAGGATGAATATTTTTCTATGAAAATACTATTTCAATATTGGCGCAGGCATCACTCGCACATTCTTTCACTAATTTGATTAGCATTCCCATTAAACTGCAGTAAATCATGATTAACGCTGAAATCAGTTTATAAAGAAGAAGTAAATGCCAGGCAATATTTATTGAAAATCAGTGTTCTCGACAACCCTTTTGATTTGTTCCGTATTTCTTGTTCTGTATCATAGAATAAAGAAAAGGGTAACTTCTTTTTTGTTGTTTTCGAAACACATAAGTGAAAACTGTTTTTGGACTGTATTGGACAGTTGTATGGTTTCCCGTTTCTGGTGTTTAAAAAATCAAAAGGATCAAGAAATTACATGGCTGTCGAAGCATTTTATATGAGAGCAAGAGAAGCATGATGTTTTTGTCTGAGGCCCATCTGGTTTATATTGAAGTTCTTCATCTGTGCTGTGAAATGGCAGGTAGACTCATGCACCTTACTGGGTTACTTCCGTGTCCTACATTTTCTTGATACATATCTGTATGATATAGTATATGTACAAGTTGCTGGATAAGATACATCCCAGGCTATCACTTCGAAATAAATTTAAAATCTTGAAATTTGTTTAAGAAATTAATTTATGAGTTATATTGGTGGCTTAACAAGATTGCCTCTTTTATTTTTAAATGTTGGATCTGGGTATCTTGATCTATTGAGGCATTTTATGACCGCACGAAATGGTAGATGAGGTAGTATTGGCTGGTTGCCTTCTGGTCCTGTCATGGTGTTTCATGCAACTACATCCACATATGTATTGTGTATATTTTTAAGGCAAGAGGTGAATGTTTTAAAAATATACCTGAATACTTCTTATTTTGGAAAGACTGTGAGTTGTCTTTATAGACTCCACTTTATTGAGGCAAGACTCTGTATCATACCCACCTTTATAATCGGGACAAGTTAATGGTTTGATTCTGAGAGTTTCATCAACTAGGCTTTGGACCCATTCTTATTGGTAAATCTTACATCTTTTACTTATATATTTCCTATAATTGTTTATCTACATCAACTTGTTGGGTTTTCCTTGAGTCAGCTACATGTAACATTGCATTTATGAATTGATTTTTAGATTTCTGAGAATATTAGATATACAGTTTATGCACAGTTGTCATTAAGACAAATAATGTTATTTCAGATGTTTCTTATGCAAACTTTTCCCATTCAAAATCAATTTGATATTAGTTAGTTTCTTGAAAAGGTAATCTATCAGTACTGACAGAATATGGATTTACTTAAAATGATAATTCAAGGGTTTTACATTATTGAATTAGAACCTCCAGTTAATGAATGAAGGCAGTATCATTATTACCATCTTAAGTGGTGACATGTTTTATAGCCACCATTTTTGTGACAGGCATTCAGGGTCAGTGTTTGGCATTGGTATCTGTAACAAATTGTTACACTTTTTATAAGTGTAACCAGGTAGTGACACTGGGTAATGGTAGTGTATTATTATCCCATCGAACGAAGTTCGGAGGGATATAGGGAACGCCTCCGTCCGTCCGTCCGTACGTACGTACGTACGTCCGTACGTACATCTGTACGTCCGTCCGTCCGTCCGGGCAATAACTCAAATACCATTGGCCCGATTTTACTCATATTTTGTACACATATACCCTATGGGGGTAGAAGTTCTGCTGGAAAGCTGATTTGCAAAATGGCCGCTCATTTAAAAATGGTGGCCATTTTAGTGCCGATTTTACAGTAATTTAGGTGCAATATGTAAAACTGTAATAGCAATATGTTTTAAATGTAAAAAAATTATATAGGACATTAATAAAGCTAGAAATGTAGATATTAAAAAAGCACATGGCAGCCATCTTGAAAAATGGCGGCCTTTACTCGTTATTTTACGATTTTTGCTGTAACTCGAAAAGTAGTGGAGCGACTTTGTTCATATTTGGTATGTGAATACTATAGGTATGGCACACTGTCTAATGACACTTTTGGTAGAAGGCGGCCATTTTGAAAAATGGCGGACATTTTGAAAAATGGCTGCCATTTTAACTTATTTTACTATAATTCGAAAAGTAGTGGAGCGATTTTGTTCATATTTGGTACGTGAATACGTTTCAGCATGGCACACTGTCTAATGACACTTTTGGTAGAAGGCGGCCATTTTTCAAAATGGCCGCCATTTTAACGTTTTTTACTATAACTCGAAAAGTAGTGGAGCGATTTTGTTCATATTTGGTATGTGAATATTATAAGCATGGCACACTGTCTAATGTCACTTTTGGTAATAGGTGCCCATTTTGAAAAATGTTCGATGGGATTCGCTACGCTTTGGCGTTGCTGTTGTTCTGGTTCTGTCTATAAAACTGAAGGTTGAGAAGACCTGTTATAACACTGATTCTATTCCGTAAATGCAAACAATTTCAGCCTGTTATATCATGGATTATCACTTTTTCCTGACCATGAAGACAAGCATCTTGATTCATTCATTAACTCAAAGAAAAGAATGTACATGTTCAATAATAATTAAGTCAATTGGACTTGAGGGTGTGAGGGTGGGGTGCAATCAATCTATCAACATACTTTTTCAATGACGTTTTTACAATTTCTAATTGGCGCGAAAACTTTATTCTGTTCATTGCTAAAAGATCGAATTTGGTCTAATAAGATAAGTTTCAATTTCTGGGTATATCACCAGTTGTTTCAATACCAAGAGATATATCAGTGACGGTTTTATCCAACTGAATGAGGTAGAGAGTACAATGTTTTAGTACTTACGGAGAGGAATTGAAGAATAGATCAAGCCATTCTCTATAATAAAGGCCATTCAATGAACGTACAAGTATTGCAATTGGAGGGTTAATATGATGCTTCATGTACAACTGACACTAATGTATGATATGCTTTTAGGCAAATGTAGAACAATAGGACAAGTAGAGTATCACTGGCATGATATCGAACAATCCTTTTAATTGTAATTATTGTGTCAATAGCAGCTTGAAACCGCCAATATTTGTATTTTCTCCTGGCAGTGGTTTATTATTCTGTTTAGTTCAGTCAACTTGGTAACAATTCATCTACATTGTATTTGTTGCATCAAAAGCAGTTAGAAAGGAACAAGATTAATGCTCTTGGGGCAAGGGATCGTTCATTAATGCTTTCATTATTTCCTGTACAAGTGCTAAATTATGATTGTTTTGTGCCACTGGGTAGGGTAGTTGGAAGATGGTTAATCATGCTTGTTAAAAATCCATGCCTAAATACAAACAAACCATTCTAGAGATTCCAGGAATGAAATTTCAAACCAGCTACGATTATTTAGCATGTTAATTGTTAGGTAAATCAGGGATGCTTGTTCGTAAAAAATCGAGGCCTCATTATATGTGCTTAAAGTGTAATATTTATCACTCTCTGTCTTGATTAGCTCTTGTTAAGCTAAATTCAGTAAATCTTAGAAATTGGTCTATTTCGAGCTACAGGAACTCATAAACGTAGTGTAATATGTAATAGTAACGAGGCTTTTCAGGAAAGAGACTACAGCGAGAAATTGCTCGCGAGAGACATAATGGCCCTCGGTTGATCCAGCACAGATTAAAGGCCAATTGTTATTGCTCTTTTGTGTGAGCCTCTTGAATTAAAGATGCTCATTCCAAGAGAATGAAAGAAATTAGGTGTATTTATTGATCAAATCAGCCTAGAAACACTAAAAAGTGCCTTAATGTTTCATCATGTTTAGATAACTGCTTGATATTTATAATAAGGAAAAGGTATCACTTTCACTTGTTTTGTTTATCATATAGATTGAATTTGTATTATTAGAAGTGCATCAAAAGAAACAACGCCCTGCTGAAGAATTGAATTAGAATGATATATTCGCTTTCATCATTGTTTTATTGATATTTCATGTGTTTAATTCAGTATAAATTGGTAACCTTTGGCGCCTTTGGGTTATGGTGGGTATTGAAATATCTAAATGATGCTACCTAAAATACATGTGTTCTGATTGAATATTATATCAACTATTATAAAAAGGACAAGTTTCTGGTTTGGTTCTGGTTTTCCCACTTCCTATACATGTCATGAAATACATGTTTGCTTCACTCGTTGATGTAATTTTTACCCTGGTAAACCATTGTGGAAAATCCTGGCTAACCAAAAGATATCTTTCATAGAGGCTTCTTCATATAAAGAAGTAAAGAAAAACATTGGCTTCAATGACCACTGCTGAGTCAAGGGAAACTAACAGTTTTCACATTAACATTAACATGTTGTTTGTATGTAACCATGGAAATCAATATGTTTTCCATAAGAGAACTGAAAAACTTAAATTGTTGGAATGTTTACTTTTAGAGAGCTGATAACATCTAAGTATCTCAATGCCAAATGTCATTGAAGAAATAATGAATAGTTAGGAAGATAAACTGTTTTTTATGTAACTTCTGTATTTTACTATTCAATTTTATTTTATTTTCAGGTGGTGATGGGAAGATCGGCAAAGTTCTGGATATCAGGGGTTGGGACACAGAATCAGGTCGAAGTGTCGCTAATGTCACATGGGCTTCAGGCTCTACCAATGTATATAGGCTTGGTCACAAAGGCAAGGTTGACATCAAATACGTACAGGAAGCCACAGGGGGAACATATTATAAGGACCATCTTCCTGTATTAGGTGAGTAGATTTGAAATCAATTACTGTTTTTTATGTCACCACTTTAAGTGTTGACATATCGTTATGGTCTCCATCTTTTTTCTGACAGCATATGATGGTGGGTGGCCGGTGCCTGTAACAAATGGCAGGTTGTGACATTTTGTATGTTAATGCCTTGTCTTTCTTGTCAGTATGTTATGTTGTGTTATCTTCTTTATTTTTTCTAAAAGGTATTCAACAAATAATTACTTATGTCAGGTAAATGACACTTTAATGAATGTTAATTCACGGGAATGTAAAAATATGATAGAAACATCATCCACATTCTGTAGAATTGTAGAATTCCTGAATTTTGTTTTTCCTAGATAAACATTTAGATTCTTATGGCTATTCAACAGATATTTACTAATGTCAGATAAATGACACTTTAATGAATATATAATTGACATGACCTTTTTAAAGAATAGATAGAGACCGGCACATTCTGTAGAAATTCTGAATTTGTTTTCCTTGATAAACATTTTTAAGCTCCCTCTTTATATTAGATACTTAATATTCTCAATCATTAATCTCCCCAGGTTTTTCCTTAGCAGGGTGGAAAAAATTCTATTTAAACTTTCTAATTTAAATTCTAATTTAAACTGTATTAATAAAATATCTTGATATGACAGGTTACAAACATATTTTGAACAGGGTGGCCTGTAAATTACATATTTTCAACATGGTGCTGCAGCACCTAATGGACTAAATGTGAGAGGAAATAATCTTGATTTATGTGATTATATATTCAAAATTTATTCAAAGTGATGTCATATTTTAAATATACTGTATAAATACTGTTTTAAATACATTGTATAAATCTATAGCATTGCGTTTTTTCTTCCGATTATATAGCAATATATGTCAACCATACCCTGTAATCAAGAAACATCATCATGATAAACAGAACCATTCACTTTCTTTTCAAGTCAGGAGATAATGAGTTTTTCCCAATCGGAGACATTGGAAAATCCTACAAAATTAGCTTTTTGATCACATGGGTAATAAAACTTCAGAGTTGTTAGCAGCCTCTCTAATGAAATAAATGTTACAGAATATAGCGGCCTTTATGTGAGATGAAAGTATTTCTGAGAATTTCATAATGATTTTAACATCCCCAGTGATCTAAGTACCCTGCTTGGGCTCAGGGCAGTAAATTTTAGGCCCCTTGCCGAGCTGATCTTCGTCATAACTCAAAAAGTATTCCATCAGTCTATATACATGTATATAAATATATATGGTATCCTTATAGTGTTATTATAGTGTTAAAGTGTTATTACTAACTGACAAAATCTGATCCATTTCTTGCAGAAAACAAGACATTTAATTCAAAGGAGCTGGACACTCAAGTAGTATTGATACATTCAATATACGTCATTCACATGAACCATAATATGTACATATACTAAAATCTCTAAATGGATATATGTAAGGTAGATAAATAATGGTAATTGGATTCGGCACTTACGCCTACATAACCATAAGTCAAGTAGGCTAACAATTAGTAGACTACTGACTGCACTGCATATAACAAAAAGAGACAGATAGAATGAGTTGTCTATGTAATACAAGGACAGATGTTGAATTTCTTAGACTGGAGTCAAAGTATTTACAAGGTCTCCAAAAAGGTGTATTATGTGTATATGAGCTCATTTAGAAAAGGCAAAAAAGATTATTACTTCTAATCATTTTCTTTCTTTTACCTAGTAACATCTTACAAGAGGAAGAATTTTGACTGAGTCTAATGTTCAATTAAATCTTTGAGTGAAATTATCTGAATATCTATTTGGAGATGTAATTGCTATTTGTAGAGTAAATGTCAAGTATAGGATGAAGTAGACAGAAACACTAATTTCCTTATAGAACTGTTCCATTTGTAAGAATATGCATTATACATTTGAGGCTTAATCTATAGCTTATATTCAGCAGGACTTTGAAGTTATCAGGAAAAAACAAATCAATTATCTTCGAAAAACCATTGTTCAGGACCCTTAACCTCAACACATTTTTCTGTAAGACTTGTTTTTTTAAAAGAGGACCTTTTTTATTTTTACCATAGCAATTGTTTCTTCTGAACTGTTTTTGGTAACTTCTGAGAGGGGAAAGAATGATGGAGTTTTATAAAGTAGAAAACAAAATATCCCATGTTATTTTCCCATAGGGAAAACTCATGCTCTCCATTGTTTTCAAGTTACCAATATTTATATTATAATATTCTCCAAATTAGACTGTAAATCATTTGTAATAGTCGCAGCATAGTGTAGATAAATGGGAATTATCTTAGATTATATTATTAGGACTCCCAAACAAAAATTAAATTTTTTAAATATTAATAGATGACATGATGTATCAACATCTTGGTTTGATATCAGATCAGATGATGAATATTTAAAACGTTATCTAATAGATGGCATTATATGTCTTACATGAAGATGGCTTATTGTGTTGAAAGTTCAGAACTTATTAACTAATAGATGGCACTTATTGTCTTGAATAAAATACTCTAGTCGTGTTTCCATGGTATTTCTCTATTTGAACACAAGAATTAACATATGAATGCAATCTGTATGCAACTGGAGCAACTTATACAGATTTCTGTCGTTTTATAGATGTGATGTAGGTTTCACTAGTTGATATTATTTGTACAAGATTTATTTTATTTAAACATATTTAGTCAATTATATAACTTAAAACCAATTCAGATCTTTAAGGTTGAATGGCATGTTTGCTGAAATTGAAAGATGAATAAATATATAAACAGTCAAAACCTTGCATAATTTTTGCACTTATTCCTCTTACAAAGCCGCATTGATTTTTAACAAGCAATTAAGCGTCATGTTCTATTTGTAACCGAAAACAAATAGTGCGCAAAATACAATAAGTACCATTCTAATTGAATTGATTTCTTATTTTCTATTCTTGGACTTGATTAGAGTTGGCGTATTAGGATTACAGTCTTTTATTTTTTTAGGTAGAGTATATGTACTGTAACTTCAATTTAGATGTGAAAACTTGAGAAGGCAATATAGCTCCTGGCATCGTCGTGTTAGATGCCATAGTTTATATCAGTCTTTAAAGGGCTTAGATAAGCATCTCAATCTTTGTTGATCGATTGAAATGGAGGATAGGATGAGGATAGAAAGTATGTTAGGATGTTTGTTCAGTATTTTCAATGTACTGAATGTTTTTAAATGAATCTGTTAACCGACTTATCAAGATTATCTATATTATGACAATCAACATATAGAGGCATCATTGATTGACACAAATCAAGAAGGATAATTCAATAACGTGATGCCGTATATTTACAAGAATAACATGTTGTTAAGAAGGCAGAACAAGAACTAGGAAGTACAGTGCTGAAATGGATTTCTCTGCTTTATGTACTGCTTATCAACAGATTTGAAACTACTCATACATTACATTAATCATATTTCAAACTACTCATACATTACATTAATCATATTTCAAACTACTCATGCATTACATTAATCATATTTCAAACTACTCATGCATTACATTAATCATATTTCAAACTACTCATACATTACATTAATCATATTTCAAACTACTCATGCATTACATTAATCGTATTTCAAACTACTCATGCATTACATTAATCATATTTCAAACTACTCATACATTACATTAATCATATTTCAAACTACTCATACATTACATTAATCATATTTCAAACTACTCATGCATTACATTAATCATATTTCAAACTGTTCATACATTACATTAATCATATTTCAAACTACTCATACATTACATTAATCATATTTCAAACTACTCATACATTACATTAATCATATTTCAAACTACTCATACATTATATTAATCATATTTCAAACTACTCATACATTACATTAATCATATTTCAAACTGCACATGCATTATATTAATCATATTTGAAAGTACTTATACATTCCATAGATCATATTTCAAACTGCACATGCATTATATTAATCATATTTGAAAGTACTTATACATTCCATAGATCATATTTCAAACTACTCATACATTACATTAATCATAATTGAAACTACTCATACATTACATTAATCATATTTCAAACTACTGATACATTACATTAATCATATTTCAAACTGCACATGCATTACATTAATCATATTCCAAACTACTCATACATTATATTAATCATATTTGAAAGTACTTATACATTCCATAGATCATATTTCAAAGTAAACATGAATTACATTAATCGCATTTCAGGCTGCATTTGCACTACTTTTGAAATTACTTGTGCATTATATCAATCACATTTGAAACTACATGTGCTTTACAATAATCACATTTCAGACTGCATTTGCATTACTTTTATCACATTTCAAACTGCATTTGCAATACATTGATTTGATTTGAATTGATTTGCAGGTGAATCAAAGGAGGTGTCTGTATCCCAAACTGCAACATGTGTGTTCAAGGTAGGGGACAAGGTCCGGGTAGATTTGGAGGTTGAAATACTGAAAGCCATGCAAGAGGGCCATGGAGGATGGAATCCAAAGATGGCAGAGGTGAGTAGAGCGCATATTCTTCATTAGTTTTTATGAGCTTAGTCACAAGAAAATAGAACATCATCACATACTTCACAGTGATTTGATTTATATTTTTTTTTTTTATTATGAGTAGACTTCAAAAACACTTCAATATACATTTAACCTCATCTCTAAAATCTCAGGAAGTGGGTGTTTTCTAAAGGTTCAAATGTTAATGCAATGTCTCTCAAATTTCAACCATTTTTTCTTATCTAAACTCTATCCATGTGGTCAGATCACTGTTATCATAATGCGGCTCTTATATTGATTACATTGAACAGGCTTGACGTCATAATCATACAGTAAAGTGATAAGAAAGAAGATGTAAATGTTAATTTATTCAAAATAATAAAAAATGATCTTAATGAACAATAAAGAAGCTTGGCAGTATTTGAATAAAGTAGAGATATACATGCAAAATCTCCCTCTTCGTAATACTCCGATAAAACCATGATTGGAGATAGGAAGGCTGATAATACAATAAGCCCCAAGGGATTATTTGCATCAAGGGGATACAACTGATTGTTGAAGCTAGATGTTTTATATTACATTATAACTGCTTTGTTATCTCTCTAGGAGTTCCTATTCTTTTCATAATTGTCGATAAAGTTCGTACAGGATGAACTGCAAACAGTAAAACCTTTGTAATATCTGAATACCTCTTTTAGTGAATGCCGCAAAATTTGAATACCTTTAGCTGATACCTTCAATGCTCACTTTAGACATGTTTTCTGTAATTCTAGTCATAAACAATAGTATATCATAATTTTTATTGAGGATAATACTATTGAATATAATTACTCTTTCTGTGTGTTTACAGTCTTACACGCTCACGCAGAGTTAACTCCCATATCTGACATGATCAGTTTGTCAATGTTGGGCCAGGTCAAAATATCACAACATTTTTTCATGAAAATTATTTTGTTTCAGGGGCAAACCCTGTAATGTGTAACATTTCAATGTTCATAAGCTTTAGAGTAAAGGGAAAATCTTTTACAGAGGGGAAGTGATCTCGTCTTTTACATTCCCAGAAAAAAGCAGTATTTTGATCCGACCCCTTAACCATTCTAAAGACAATAACCTTTGCATGATTGCAATGAATAATTCAGGTTCATTGTTGAACGTATCCTAATATAGTAGTTGTTTGATTGCCCCTTTACTTTCATTGCTAATTAGCGATTTCTCTCTCAAATGAAATACCAGGTAATGTTAAATTGAAGTACTATGAGGAAACACACCCCTTTGTCAATATTTTTTTATGTTTATGTCTATGTCAATAATCTGCAACAGGCTAATTAGCCCATATAAAACAGATATTTAATTTAATAGTGATAAAATTCGAATATAATATAATTTAAAACCTTTATGTTTAAGTTGTTGTTTTTTTGCTTCAAACTACATACATGTATTTAATTTCTGCGTATTAGTCAGAATTAACTCAAGTAAATTTTATGTTTTCAGTATATTGCCAAAGTGGGAACAGTGCATCGTATTACAGAGAGAGGAGATGTCAGGGTACAATACGAGGGCTGCAGCAATAGATGGACCTTTCATGCAGGGGCATTAACAAAAGTAAGGCATTAATCAAGCTAAGGTTCATAAACATAATGGTACAGCTAGGTACAATACGAGGGCTGCAGCAATAGATGGACCTTCCATGCAGGGGCATTAACAAAAGTAAGGCATTAATCAAGCTAAGGTTGATAAACATAATGGTACAGCTACATCTACAGCTAAAATGGTACAGCTATATCTACAGCTAAAATGGTACAGCTATATCTACAGCTATGATGATACAGCTACAGTATAATGATACATCTAAAGCTAAAATGGCACAGCTATATCTACAGCTATAATGATACAGCTACAGTATAATGGTACATCTAAAGCTAAAATGGTACAGCTATATCAACAGCTATAAACATTTTGTCTTGTTAATGCCTTGTTTAAAGTTTAATTTTATTTAAAGATTGTTGATACTTTTGAAAAGTCTGTTTTCTCTGATGTAGAACATGTTTACAATGCTACTTATACCCAAGCATGCTCATCACATGGCATCACTCATATATGCAATGTCACTGCAACATCCTCTATTATGTAAATGTTTGAGATCAAGGATCCAATAACATTGTTGCTATAAACAACTAGAATACATTGATTGGTTCAATGATAAGTTGTTCAGTTTCACACATTGTATGTCAGCCTTGAATGATCGTTTGTTTAGTTCTTGGCATCATCACTCAATACTATTTCTAAATTGTGTTTTATGATTTCCCTATAGTATATATATAGTTAGTGTTATATATCAATCGATAGCTGTTGAATTATTAAACCGAATAAAGGAAGACTAGCCTACGGAAAATGCTTGCTATAAATACACAGTAATCAGTTTGAATTGTCTCCTCTGACCCTTTCAAATAGCACTCACATCGTCTGTTAATCAATATTCCTCCGTGGTGAATTAGTAATCTTCTTTAATGCGCAGGATGTAAAGAATTATAGCGAGGGATCTTCGAGATTTGAGAGTTTCTGAATTGTTATTATTGTTTTTGTTATGGTTCATTTTACAGTGACCTATTATTGAACGATAAATTTTGTTTTTATGTGACAAATGTTTGTACAAAAGTAGATAATACGTTATGAGTTATGGATGTTGATATAGGTGTGGTTAATAATACACTTGTTAAGGTAAGGGGAAGTTTTGATAAGAACATGATAAGATAATTGAATGTTATTCATCATAGATTTATTCCTATTAATTATTTCCTTCAGAAAAAGATTGTATTTGATTAATTTTAATGAGACCATCCTTAATGAAAAAGCTGATATTGACCTATGATTATAATATCAATCAGCTTTCATTTAAAGAGGGATGTTGTGATAGGAATGCACCCACCTGAAAATCTATTTGCAACCACTCGAAAATGGTAAAAAATCATGAAAAATAGGCATATTTTGACCAATTTTGGTATGAATTGTGAAAATGAAAATTTTGCACCCACTTGAGAAAAAATCTTGTGAAAAACACTGCTCCATGTTAATAATTTTATCCACTTATTAGTACTTTGTATAAGTAAAGGAAGCTTTTTACACTTTTCAGCACTAAGGATAAAAGCTTTTGAAATGAGAAAAATTGTCGTGAATATGGCACTTGTGGCTTGTCACTTTCATTTTGACTTGTTTGAGTATTCCAATTTTAACAAACTTCCCTTCAATCACCTCTCCTGTTTGTTAACCCTCAGAGTTAGCATCAACATTGTGTCCATTGATTACGTTTTTGTTTGTCCCATTGCTGAGTGTAGTTATGTTATGGATTACATGAAATAGAAGTCTTGTTGCTTTATTCACAACTGAATTAACTTCCTGGAGATATTCAGGAGATTTTCTGTAGAAGATTACCTTTCATATGGACCGGCTTATATTTTGATTGGATATTGGAAAAAAACATTACAACTTGGTTCATAATTCTATTTTGATCAGCTATTAGGATCTTCAACTTGAAACCATAGCTGCAAGGCAAGTGTTCTGTTTAATTTTTTATATTAATTCAAATGTACACAATACAATGCAAAATTCAAAATGTAGTTTATTTAGGTAAACAAGGAAAATTGTTTACCTCATATTGACGAATCAGATTGGAGCTTATTCCAGCTGTTAATAACAATTTATGTTTTCCTTTGTAGGTGCAACAGTTCCAAGTTGGGGATGTAGTGAAGATAGTAGATGATGTACAGAGAGTCAGAGACTTCCAAGTTGGACATGGGGAATGGACAGATAATATGAGAACAGTAAGTGTGTACATACTATATACAGTAAAACCTGTCTTAGTGAACACCTCTCTCTAGTGAACACTTGTCTCTAGTGGACATTCTACTCTACTGACTTCTGTATAAATGACCCTCTCTGTAGTGAACACCTTTAACACTGACATTTTTTCTTGGCAAAAAATGTTTAATATACACATGTTTTATTGTATGTATTAATAGATATGTATCTGAATATATTGAATCGGAAATATCTTGCTTGATGTTTCTTTCACTACAAACTTACTTCCCTCATCAGTTAATACCAAGAAATAGAAGCAGACCAATTTTTAAAACTTGATAAATACAAGAAGGTAAATTTTGAAGAATATTGTAATTTTCAAGTTTTAGATAATTATTAACCTCATATGGTAAGCATGTATGTTTTTTGTATTCTGTACAATGATAGTATAGTGTAGATTTATTTTTGCACTGACTTATATGACATGCCATGACATCTGAAGAAAAATAAAAATGTAATTTTCAGGCTCTGAATAAGACTGGCAGAGTGCTAAAGGTTTACACAGATGGGGATCTGAGAGTTTCAGTGTCAAACCAGACATGGACATTTAACCCTGCATGTTGCATTATACAACCACATGGTGCAGAGGACATGAACAATACAATGGGAGGGGGCCAGGAGAGAGATGAACCCACTAGTAGTAAGTACAATTCTTTTTACTAAATCTTTTGTACATTGTTGCTACTTGATCTGCATTAGAAACCCACCCATAAGAAGCTGTATCAGTTTGTATATATAAAAAGGACAGACAGACAGACGGACGGATGCGCCTAGGCCGACAATATGGCCCCACACTATGTGGTGGGGACATAACAAGTCTCAACATCTCATGATATAACATTATATGAAAACCTGGCTATGAAAGCCATGCTTTAGAAATCTGTCCATTGGCTGACTAAGGTAACTATTTTCAACACTTCATCTGCTTCGAAGATTTTAGAGAATGAATGTTCTTTGATCCTGGGATTTCCAATGGTTGAGTTTCTGTAATACAGTCTTTGAATTCTCAATCATCTACGTATCTCAATGAATGTACATGAATTTTATACTTTATATTTTTTTAGATTCATTAGTAATATTGTCTTTGAATTCTCAACCATCTATCTCAATGAATGTACATGAATTTTATACTTTATATTTTTTTAGATTCATTAGTAATATTGTCTTTGAATTCTCAACCATCTATCTCAATGAATGTACATGAATTTTATACTTTATATTTTTTTTAGATTCATTAGTAATATTGTCTTTGAATTCTCAACCATCTATCTCAATGAATGTACATGAATTTTATATTTTATATTTTTTTAGATTCATTAGTAATATTGTCTTTGAATTCTCAACCATCTATCTCAATGAATGTACATGAATTTTATATTTTATATTTTTTTAGATTCATTAGTAATATTGTCTTTGAATTCTCAACCATCTATCTCAATGAATGTACATGAATTTTATATTTTATATTTTTTTAGATTCATTAGTAATATAGTCTTTGAATTCTCAACCATGTATCAACTATCTCAATGAATGTACATGTATTTTTTTAGATTCATTAGCTACTCTTCTTGAGCAGTTGATAGTGGACACTCAGTTGTATACAACAGGACCTGATAGACTTGTGCGTGAATCAGCCCAAGGCAATATAGATGTCGTCAGAGAGATTATAGCTAAATATCCAGACAAAGTAAGTGAATTATGGAGGAAATGTTACACTGATAAAGGAGTTTGCCTGAAGATTTGACATATAGAAATTTCCTCGCCATAATAATTCTTTTGTTTTGGTTTTCTCCTTCTTCATAGTGTGTATTTTTTAGCTCACATGGCATGTAATCACCCACTTGTTTTGTATTGTCCTCAAACAAATTATTTCCTGAATTTTAGGTTTACTATCTCGTTCAGTTTTGTTGTGTGTTGTGATCAGTACGTGAGAACATGTATGTCAATTGATTCATGTCTTAGTGCTTGAATATCATTGATTGTTATCTCTCTGTGTCTTTGGCCTTAATTGTGTCTTTATTGTGTTGTTGTATTGTATCCTTTATTACCACAAGTGTATATTGTGAGTACATAGTTAGGGTTGAGTTTCTCCAGTGCAAATGAATGCTTTGATGATGATCAACACCATTGAATATTTTTTCAATTCCATATTTACAACAAAACATTGATCCATAGTATAGAGTTACAAAACATTTATTCCAATAAATATAAATAAATAATGAAATATAAACAAAAGTCAGATCTGCTCAGCCAGTTCAACCGGTGATTCCAGTTATTATATCTTCTTCCAATGTGGTGAGTTTTTTGTTAGCGTATGGACATGTGGGCTCCTGTGGTGTAGGGATTGGTTTGAGGACATCCTCTGTGAATTCCTTCTCCTTGCAGAACTCCAAAATTTCCTTCTCGTAGAGGTCTTTGAATGTGTCTTTGTTACGGGCAAGTACATATAGCTGGCCTCCATCATTTGTGGTAACCACAGAGTAGGCGTACTGGTTGTTTATGACTGGTCCAAGCTTGATGATCCAGTCTATATAGAAACATGGAGATACTTTATCAATCTGTCATTTATTTGTGACATTATTGAATTTTTTGAAAAAACTGATTTGAGTGATTTAAACATTTCAGATAGCTTGTCTTTGAGTGATTATTACATAGGTGAGGGAAAATACTTGAATAGTTCACTCTGTCATTCTTAAGTTATCAAATCAAAAAGCAGTGCTCCTGCTCTTTCTAAGGTGTTTCTCTCTAAATTAGCTTATATCTATTTGTTTTGGGACTGTGCCTCCAATTTACTTACATGATCCGGTGAAGGGGACATACTGTAGATGTAGGGCAAATTTGCCAGGGTCTCCTGTAGCATTTACTTGCTCTGCATAGCCTGTGATCTGACTCCAACGACCAGTGGGTGACCCAATCTTGCCAGAGTTGAGCACTGTGATGGTGGTAGCATCCTTAAGTTGGTCTACAAGAATGCAAAATCACATATTTCAACCCTGTTGTTTTAAGGGATCCAGAGGACTATTCAGTCATCATGACATAACTGCTATACCAAGTTATGATTTCATGGAATGTGAATTGTAACATTTCTCAGTTCTGATACACCAAACTATGATTTCATTGAATGTGAATTGTCTCACTTTTCAGTTCTTGATTGAAGCTTTAGAATTTCCTTTTTTTAATTCTCAATGGTAAAGATGAATGCAATGCAATTTTTAGTTCAGGGCCAATGCGTTTCATAACTGTAAAGACCATTGATTACATAAAAAGTGAAAAACGCCAAATGGAAATCATCTGTAATAGAACACTAAATGTCAAGTGGGGTTTGATATGTTTGTTAAGTTTGTTCAAATATTAAAAGATCCCAAGGTACAAGATCAATATATTGATGTGCATCCAGAAATGTAATGAAGTAATGTTTGTGGAGAGAGAGAGTATAATACCTCTGTTTAAATAACAAAGTTGTGAATCCTTGCTCCTCTACATACCTCAACTCCACAGGGAGATGAAGTCTACAGTGGCAGGGAGTTTTTTTTTGGGGGGGGGGCTTGATGCGAGACAATCAGTGATGAATAGGAGACTTACATGTAGCTGAAGTGCAGTGTTGGTCTTGTCCTGTGAAGGTTGTGGCTTGTTTGTTAGTGTACATCTGGAAACAGGATAGAAAAATGTATTTTGGTCTATTTTTGTTGCATTCAGTAGATTGTTACATTTCATTTATAGTTCTTTGCTTTACAATATGAATATTTTCAAAATATCAAAACACTATGTAAATTCCCTGTATAGTAAAGATTTGAAAAAAATTTTAATGAAAAAAAATTGTAACTACATGTATAGCTTAAATGTATACCTGATACCAGCGACCAATATAAAGTGCAGCATCTAATTTCGGCACTGTTGGAATCACCCTCTTCTTGTACTTTGGTGCAAATATGAACCCATTTGCCACTCCAAGTATCACCACTAGCGTGATCAATTTAATAAACATTTTCAGTTTTTCCTGTAGCTTGTAGACTGGAGAATCTGCTCTGTGGTTTTGTTTGTGGATTGAAAGGGAATAGTTTGGGTTTATATAGTGTTCATTACATTGTCATATCTCCCATATCAAACTGATAAGATTAGACGTATCTATTGGATGTGGCCATGCAACGGGTTTGTTCTATAATGTTTAATTATCACACTCACATTTATTTGGAATATCTTATTTTTGTGATAAGAAGGTCATTGAGGTCGATACATGCACGAATATGTTCAGAATGTTTTTTATGTACACTTTTACATGCACGCTATAAAAACGTCTTTTTATTATTATTTTGACAAATATACATTAAAATTTGATCATCTTTTTGTTAGAATTCTTGCAGTTTTCTCTTCTGACTATTGTATTGATTGTATACTCTTTCACATATTGTGATAGATGCATGCATTTAAACATGCTGTTTTGTTGGGCCAAAGATTCTTTTTGATACCAAATGCAGACCAATAACTCTTGACTCCAACCACAGACTCTTCAACTACATGTATCTAGTGTGTAAATGTAATATTTGATCATAATTATATTACATGAATAAATAAAAAAAAAATATTCTTCTACATTGCAGACTGATCAGAGAAGCTCTGGAAAGACAGCATTACAAGTAGCAAGTCATCAGGGTCACCTTGACATAGTCAAGATACTCCTAGCTGCTGGCTCTAACCTAGAGGTACAAGATGAAGATGGAGACACTGCCTTACACTACTCAGCCTTCGGGTAAACATACTTTTATTCATGCATGCGATGTATCAGTGATCATAAGCCATGTATGGACTTGAGGACAAATATGTATGGAAAATTATGGTGTATTACTCTTTGAATGAGAATCATACGTTTTGCTATGTTGACTGAGTAATATTTCTTTTGATACAATTGAAATGTACTTGCAAAAATTTTAAACTTAGAGAATAATTCTGTGGACTTCTTGGTACATGTAACACAACGGGGTAAAAATCCTGTTTTACAAAGTGTTTTTTTTGTCAAAATGCTTAGCAACGAAGCAATTTAACCTTGCCTTGTAACAAGTACCATTGGAGAACTTTATATAAGTTATGTGATATTTTTTTTATGTTTTAGTAACCAGCCAGAAATCACAGATTTACTTCTGAAGAAGGGAGCAAATGTGAATGCTGTAAATAATGGTGGCTGTAGTACTCTGCATGTAGCAGTAAATAAACAACACATGAGATGTGTCAAAACTTTACTCAAACATAAATGTAATGTCAATATACAAGTAAGTGAACCCTGTCCGTATTGTATAAGAAGGAAATTTATTTGAATTTTTTCCCTAGATTTTCCAATTGTGAGGAGCGATAAAATAACATTTCCTCATAGTAAGCGTTTCGTGTAGCGGTGTGTAAAAGCAAAGACCAGTTTAATAATTTAGCGAAACTTTCTTTTTGTCAACTTGAATTTTCGAATTAACCTGAATCATCATTTTGTGAAAATTCTAAATTGTGATTAGCAACGGTTTTTATAATGGTATGATAATTAATACCAAATGTTCACTTCATTCCAGGACTCCTATGGAGATACAGCATTGCATGATGGGATAGGGAAGGACAGCCGAGAAATTGTCGAACTGCTCATAAGTTACCCTGGTATCGATTTTACACTACGCAACAAAAGAGGCTTTAACGTTTTACATCACGCAGCATTGAAAGGCAATAATCAGTAAGTAGGAATTTTCATCTCTACAACTCACATGGCTTTGTAGTTTAGAGTTGCAATAATGATCCCTGAATGGGGGAGAGATTTTGAAGCTGTTTCTTCATTTTTGGAAAATTTGGACAGTCTTTCCTAATGACCAGCATTTCCCTTGTATCTGTATTTAGCTTACAAAGTTGACACTTGACAGGATCTTAAAAATGCCAGCATTTCTAGAAATACCATACTAGTAGATATAAGGAGGATTATATTCTCTTAAAAACTGGTACAGAACAATTGGAAAGTCACAAATCTAAGACACCCATTCTTTCTGGATTTACAATCTCATTCTTTGTATTATCCCTGGTTTACTCTTTATCTATAGCGCAACTGAAAAAACTCTGACTAAGGCTCGCCAAATGGCAGATGTTAAGAAGGATGATGGATTTGCAGCTCTTCACCTTGCTGCTCTCAATGGACACCAAGAAGTGGCAAACACATTACTATGTCTGGTGAGTCTTTCACACAAAGTCAGTCCTACTGGTGGTTTTTTGCATTTCTGCATTTTTATTACATTTAGCTGGGCAACATTACAGTAAAACCTGTACAATCTGAACACCAATGGAACTACACAGGCCAAAAGAATCTGGAATAGCGAGAATTCTTAATACAGTATGTGAGACAATTGGACATAAAAAAATTGGGACAGGTTTTACTGTACAGTGAATGGTTTTAATGGAACATGTGATCATGTGTACATTTCTGTTTTAGGGACAAGCTGATTTAGAAATCAGAAACAACAGGCGACAGACTCCCCTCCTCCTGGCAGTGTCTCAGGGACACACTGCTCTCATAGAACAACTAGTCTCTAAAGGTACACATAGTAATATATGTCTTTATAATTGTTAATACTCTCATCCATCACCCTGTATGGTACACACAGTAATATATGTCTTAATACTCTCATGATAAAATAAATATATTCTTGTTAAAGCAACATTGAATTTTAGTTAGTATGTATTATCATTTTTACTGTTTTTGCAATAGGTGCAGATGTGAATGTCCAAGATGAAGATGGGGACACATGTCTACATCTGGCACTGATGAGACAAACAGTGGCCAGTGAATCAAATAATTTACCCTTTCTCACATCAGTAAGTGGCCCAAATATATAATTAAAAAGATGGTTATCAATTGAAAGTACACAGGATATATGCACTGAACAGCTAGTATATTGTTCTAGTGATTAGTATCACTTATTCAATAGTTTGATGCTGAGTCATTCCTAGATTTAAACAAGAAATCATGGTACATTATGTAAAAGAGAATACTGGAAATTTATTAAAAATGACAGATAGCCTTGCATTAATAATCCTTCTCCTTCTACTCACCCTTTAGCTACATTTTCTTGTCCTCTATATCAGAATGTTTTACTTCAGATTCGCAACGAGCTTGGCATGACAAACCAGGAAGGTCAAACAGGTGCAGCTATAGCTTGCTACCTTGCCCAACAGGGGGCGCTACTCAACACAAAAAATCTCCAAGAAAAGACACCATTGGACATCATCAGTGACCCAAAGGTGGAAGAAGCAATCAAACAATTCGCAGCAGAGTTGTAAGTGCCCAAATAACTCAAAATTCATTAAATTTTTATGTACATATATTTTGATAATATATACATCAGTACTGTATAAACTAACAAAACATACATAACACAAAAAAGGGAATATAAAGTATCTAATAATTAATGTTCAGTGTGCTGTACTGAGCTGCATTGTACTGTACTGTGCAATGCTGTGCTGAGCTGAAGTTTCCTGTGTTGTGCTGTACTCTGCTGTAATATATTTTACGAGCAGAGTACCAAACTATAAATTTTATAATATACAATACTGAATACAGGCCACTAAGGCAATGTAGAAGAGGTGAAAGATGCAATCAATATTTTGATGCTGTATTTCAGTGCTGCTGGCAATAGTACAGAACTGCCTGTAACTGATCAAGCAGAGAGTGGGCCAGAGTGTATGGTGTGTTGTGACGTCTCTGCTAACGTCACATTCAAGCCATGTGGTCACAGAATCGTCTGCTCAGACTGCTGTGTTAAGATGAAGAAATGTCTAGTCTGTCAAGGAATCATTGAGAAAAAAATTGGAAAAGGTATGCGTTTGTTTTTTTGCATTAAATTCAATGATTCATTTCGATGTAATTATAGTTTTATAAAAAGAGCAATATCTAAGCCTTACTAATATATCTATTATCTATACTTATATCTGTATCAATTTACATTAAATGTATTAATTTTGTTGATTTTTCATCTATAAAACACATTATGACATTTGATATAATGATAAGAAATAAGGTAGAAACATTACAGAATTCATTGCTGTATATGTATATGTAAAAGTGATAATTACGCCTTGAAAGAATCTCAGAACATGTATTTCTGACTTGTTCTATACATTCATGTGGTGTTTCATGATAACATGTGGTATGTCATGATTCCAGGTGGTTTATTAATGGCTCCTAGCCCAACAGCAGGCGTCAGACAGGAGAACGCAGCTCAAGTACAGGACTTAATAAAAAGAATGCAGGACTTAGAGGACGCAGTGAATTGTTCAATATGTTTGGAGAATAAACGATCTGTAGCGTTCTTATGTGGACATGGCGCATGTCAAGTTTGTGCTCAACCTTTACGAGTCTGCCACATGTGCCGGAAACCTATAACAAAGAAAATCAATCTCTTTAACTAAAGTGTGACCCTCAATTCTCCGCCAGATTACAAATCTAATGATTCTCAATACGATCTAGGATTTTGGAAAATAACTGTTGACGGCACTCACTCACAAAACTGCAGTATTATTTATTGGATAGGATTGGATTGGATTGACCTGTTACAAAAATTGGAAGATTTAGGTTAAACAAACTGAATGTGCATCGACTTGAATGTCGTGCTACAAAAATTGGAAGATTTAGGTTAAACAAACTGAATGTGCATCGACTTGAATATTCTGATTTATGCTTTAGAAGCAAATTTTGGTTCTGTATCAGTACCAAATGTTTGCAAATTGTTTATATTGATTGCTACATGTATATTGTCAGCATAATATTCTCAGAAGTCCATAATGTATAGTTACAATACATGTAAAAATCACTTAATGGAAAAGTGAGCTGAGACAAAAGATAACACCAATTTAATATATGTTTAGCAATGTAACGTCATTGAGTATGCGAGGAATATAACAGGGCTCTTACTGGGTTATATGGGTGTGGTGGATCAGGACTACTTTTTTACAAAATTACATCACAGTAGGAATTAGCTTGAAACTTGTTTACTCAGTTTTACATTACATTCATTTCGAATGCACAAAATATAAATAGATATAATGAGTCGTTTTCTACCACAACCTGAATATTTCCTTGTGAAAGCCTTGTAGCATGATTGGTATTGTTGAATGCTTGATTGATTGAATGAATGATTATTGAATGATTATCTGACTTGTTGAATGAATCATTCAATTGATTGGTTGAATCATTGTGATGAATTGATTCATATTTACATCGCTTGTTGGTTGTCTAATCAGTTGGATTGCTTCATCTATTGAATGTGGTTGTTATTAATTTGATTATGATATTATCTGAACATGTGCTACTTTGCAGATTTACATGTTTTAACTAGGAGCAAGGTTAGGCCTTATTACATCTCCTTGGTAGAACATATGATAATCATAACACAGTATGTGCATTGATTATGATAATTATACTTTTCACTATAGTACAATGTACACATGTGTTTTATGTTGAGTAAGGGATCTGATCAAAATACCAATGTCCATCAAATAACTGCATTAGTCTGACCTCCCCCTGTTTACATAAGAACCTCAAATGATATTCAAAACTCCAATCCTGATGTCATGAGAACCTCAACTGTTGATGTCACAATTTGAAATGATGATGACAAAAATTTGTGTAAGTGTTAGAACAAATGTACATGTGAGTATTAGTTATATGTTTCAAAAATGAATGACCTAACATAATGATACAGCCTTTGAGCCCCCCTACCTAACTTTTGACAATTATATTGATGTTTTGAGTCAATCCCTATGAACTCTGAATTGTTTATTTACTTTATTCAGGGAGAGCGAAGAACAATCCCACAAATGCAATATTTACGTTAGCTTCATTAAGTTTTTCATTTAGTAGCTTATTACTAAGTTATCTAGAGATAGTGATACACAATACATGTGTGTTTACATTTCCACTCTTTTTCCCAAATGAATTTAAGACTGACTGCCCTTCTTTTGAAATTATTCACCATATGAATCAACAGATAACCTGGTAATCCTCATACACATATATGTTCAATGTAATTCCTCTCCAACTGTTATCCCAAATAATGGAATAATAATATATAATTATTATATGCGATAATAATATAGCATATAATATTATGTCATAATTCACTTGTAAAACTGATCAAGTCTTGGATCAGACCTGTATCCCGTATTTGTCTCCCCCTTCCTGCCTCGGTGGGTTGAGGACTTTGAACGAAGGGAACCAGGAAATAGTTAGGGAGTTTATCCTTGATGCAAGACAAATTCTGACCATTTGTGTGTAATATTTTTAATGACTGGCCATTTGATCCTGAGGAACCTGAGATTTTTAGAGAGAAAAAGTATTGGAGGTTTTGTGTAATCATTTATGTAATTGAGAATTAATAATATGAATGATTTTGACAAGTTGAATAGCATTGAAGTCTTAATATTTTGAGTTTGGGATGGGTACAGTTTTCTGTTTATGATAAATCAAGGTTCAGTTGTTTTGGGGAGGAAAGTTTTGACCAAGGATAAAATAAAGTGGGTTCCCCAAGGTCTAATGGTCCTGCCTGTAAGTACTAACATCTAACATATGCATGAGATGCTGTGTTGTGACAATCACTGTTTCTGAAATGGTGCTTCAAATGTGGACCAATCATAATTTAGTTGTTATGCATATCCTCCAATCACAGGGCTTCAGACCTTAACAAGTTTAGTGGTCAGTATCCATCATAGGTTGAAAAGTGCAATCGTCAATTCTCATTTTCCATTTTAGGAAATATTGTAATGGCCATCGATGGTTGAAAAAGTCATGAGATGATGTCAATTCTTTTCTGCCATTCATAGAGAATATGGTAATTGATACTGACCAGTTAAGTTACTTTTTGGATGGGATCTGGAGTCCCTGTGTTTGGTGGATGTCTTGTACCAAGTGCAATGATTCATTATCTCTTACAACAAACAGGTGTATTATATTCTACATCTGTAGAAGTATTTATAATTGAAAACTGAAGATCAACAGCAAAAGTCACCTCAATTCTTTTGCCCAAAAAGTACAAATCTTTATGATCTTATTTTGGTTGAATCTCACTACATTGCTGTTTCAAAAATGGCATAAAGTACATCTTGAAGGCTCATCTTTCAGAAACTTTTAATTTACCCTGTAGACCAAAAAAGAAACATTTTCATTCTGAGAAATGTTTAGTTGAAATGATTTGATAGAAAATATCTTTATTTATTTACATATAACCATTATTGATTCATTTTTATGCAATTTTGATCCCCTCCCAAGAAGTACTTTGTCACATTTTTGATATCACAATGACAATATGTACATTGAATATTTAGACATTGTACATTTAAAATTAAATTGTAAATACTCTAATGTAAATATGGGTGTACATAAAATTATGTACATATTTAGGGGAATAATATATATACAGTTCATTATCAATAAAATTGTAACATAATACATTGTACAAAACATCTATTGTACCATGCATATTTAGAGCTTACCTAGGCTAGATTTTGTAAGAATTTACCAGAAATATTATATTGTTGTAAATGTGAGTGTTGTCAAGTAAGACAATGAAAAGACAATGCCTAATTCTCTACCATAAAAGTTGCAGCCATAAATATTGCATAAAGCCTAAAGTAGGGGCTTCACTGCCACTGGAGGAATTTTCAAAGTTTTAGGTTGTTTTTGGCTATTCACAGGTTTCTAAGGTGAAATCACCTATTATCTTCAAATAAAATACTATGTAATGGGTATTTTTGGTAATTTTTAGCAAAACGAATATATACTTCTCAAAAAAAGTTAAGGACCAGTGGTTTTCCTCATAGGTTTACATGTTAACCCCCATATTTGTTTGAACGACTATATATTGTATTTTTCTGATGCCAAATATACCAACTATACAGTAGCTTTATTACTAGTATGCATGTCACCCATTCATCATATATACACAAATATGCTAGAATGTTATATGCTGATCTCAATAGCATTGTTAGAGTCTTGTCAGTATTTCAGTTTAGCTAAATATATACAGATTTATACAACATGAAAAATATATTTATTTTATGTTTAGTCAAGTAAAGTCACATGTCCAATTATACCGTCCTTGATCTTACCACATTCACTGTATAATCAGGTGTTGACAGCTATGATTGGGGGAAGGGAAGGATCCATGGCCCATTTATACCCAAGAGGAAGAAATATAAATATATTATATAAAACTATAACTCTGGCAAAATATGAGGAAAAACATTCAGTTCCAAATTAACACCTATGCCAAATGAGCCCATATGTGCTGAAATGACACTTTTTGAACAATTATAGCACCAAATACAGTTAGTGATCATTAGATTGTTGCCAATTGTTGGAATGATATAAACTGCATTTTGTGTCATTTTGGCACTAAAATCTGCTATCATTTGGTCAATCTGGCTTGAAACTGTAAAAATAACAACGATTTATATGAATATTTTTTTATTATTCTTTGACAAGGTGTTAACATACAATGTTTGGCAATTATTTTCTAGCTAGTCATCCAGACTATCACCTTTTAGAGTGCTGTATCACTTGATCTCTTTAAAGAGTGCTGTATCACTTGATCTCTTGAGCTTCATAAATTCTTGTTCAAGACTTATTGGTCATATTTTTTGAAATGTTGAAAGTCAATGGATAGAATGTTTAGAAATACGTTTTCGCATAATAGAAATCAAGATAAGTAAAGGAGACCGACTTGGGCAAGGCTAGCAAATTACCTATTTTGTTCTTTCTCAAGTCTTTTTTTATCGCTGAAGCCTTTGTTTAAAGCTTAAATATAAAGGATAAAATGATGTTTCAACTAGTCTCTGATTACCCTAAGCTAGTTCAATTAAGAAGCAAGAATCATTTTATAATTTGCCTTTTAGCCTATCAAGAGGTCACATCGCACATGTTGACATCTATAGAGAGGTACATTTGAAGAGACTCCATTTGAAGAAAATCTCTATTTGGCTTGGTGAGTTCAAAGCTTTATCAGGAAAGTAGAGGGTCTGAGAAAAGACTATTATATCAGACTTCAAAGGGGTATTGTCTTAAAAAGGGTAGTGATCTCTTATCAGTGTCTCTTTTGAAGTTTCCTTTCAATGAGTCCCCAGCCAAAAACAACAGAGCAGAAACTAAGCACTGCCATCATGATGTAGCTCCAAGTAAAGCAACGGAGCCCATAGCAATCGGTTACTCCTCCAGCCACATTGATATTAGAGTCGTATATGATACCAAATAATTTCTGAAGACCAAAACCTCCCAATCCATTCCCCACCATCATCCAACCCCAATTACGAGCGAAGTATTTCACACCAAAGTATTCACTTAACATGGTAGGTGATAAACACCATACTGCACCATTTGCCCATCCAACAACAATGGAAGCTATCAGTAACAAAGTGTATGTGTTGCCATAGAATATACAAATGGCAAGAATGACAGTTTGTACAATATTACTTACAATTAAGAACACTGATCTTGGGACAGAATTCACAAGTATGTCAGAAAAAAATCCGATGAGGAACTTTGATACGGTTTGGATGACTGGGATTAGTATGGTGAAGGTCGTGCTGAGATGTTCTAGATTAAATGAACGTAGGAACACGGCTATGTTGGTTTGGAACACTAGTTGGAGTCCAGCACAAAACACCATTACCCAGAAAATATACTGGAAGTCAATGTCTTTGATGAGGGATAATCCTGTCATGTCAGCTTGACTTTCAACAATAACAATGTCATCATAGTTGGAGTCCAGTCTTGTCCTGTTATCATGACTTGTTGTTTGGTTGCTATGGCTATTGTTACTAAGGAGATCATTTTGATGACGTTTATTTTGATTCTCATTGTCAGTTTGGCTGTGGATTAATTGGTTTACAATAGTTTTGTTTGTGGCACTGTGGTTACCACTCAGTTCATGTTGCATAGCAACATCCTTAGGGTTTCCCATGTAACTATGGCTACCATTAGCTGTACGACTGCCCATGTTGCCATGGGTGTCTAATCTATTCCCTTGATATAATGTCACCTCGTTATTATCATATTTAACTGCATTTTCAAAATCAATGTCATTACTCCCCACCTGTTTCCTGTCACTTGTTGTGTTTGCCAGTCCATCATTTTGCAGCAGGGGACTCTTATCAGATACCAGCTTCTCAAAACCACTATCATATGGAAAATTTCCTAGTGCTAATATTCCAATGAAATTTGTTGCCACAAATGTTACAGCTGTGCAGAAAAAGAATCCTTTAAGGTTTTGGTTTTGTTCATCTCTGACGTGGCCATTGACAAATAAAAGTCCATATAAGGCAGCTGCAATGGCCGGTCCTGCGCTAAATGATGCGTCAAGGATTCCAATTGTTTTCCCTCGATGTTTAGGGTGAAAGTTTTTAATGTTGATCGTCATGCACGCCATGTATGTGAATGAGGCGCTCAGCCCTGCAAATATAGATGTAAAATCATATATTATTGTGGTATAGCTAAATGATAAAAAGCCTTTAATTGAAATTGGTAAAATCTAAAATAAAGTAAATCATCTGTAATAGCTAGAAAGAAGTGTGGTTAGCTGATGGGGGGGGGGGATATTCCCAGATAATGATTTTATGTCTCACCTCCAATAAAATTGTATATATCTATGAGATAGCTCTTTGTATGGTAAAACGCTATGCTATTTTCATTTAGTGCAGTACTCCACAACAGAAGGTACCCCAAGGCTGACATCAGCATGGCAACTAGTGAAGTGATGCGGGACCCAAATCTCTCAGTACACATGCCTGCTGGGAACCCTATGCACATTCCTAGGTTTCCCATGGCAGCAATGGTTTCAACTACAATTACAACTAGATAATGGCAACTCCGCGGAGTAGCAAATCCCAACGAACAAAATATCAATTACCGAATTCCAATCAATTATACTCATTATTTGGTTAAAATTTAGATTTTAGAATTGCGAATTCCTGCAAAGCAGCCATTTTGAATTTTCTGGGGTACAAATCTGAAAAATAATACCATAATTGTGATCTACTCCAAAATTCCTTCAATTTGAGTATTATATAGCCATACGTTGAAGGGATCGAAAAATTATTGCGAAATCGTACATTAGACGGCCATTTTGAATTTTACGAGGTTCGAATCAGAAAAAAAGATAAAATATTTGCAATCTACTCTTAATTTCCTTTCATTTGAGTATAATAAAGCTATACTTCAGAAAGATCTAAAAATTAGCAAAAATTTCTGTTTTCCTGACCCCCCCCCCCCCCCCATACACGGCCCCTGGGGTCAGGATGAAAAACACAGAATATATGTGAAATAGATAGATGTTGCGAAAATACTACCAAAATTTCAAACAATAATATTAATTACTTTGGTTTAGAATGGAAAATTTATGATTTTTGCGAAAAAGTTCCGTCATTTTTAAAGCGGCAGCCATCTTGAAAAAATCCATTTTGAATTTTCTGAGGTACAAATCTGAAAAGTAATACCATAATTGTGATCTACTCCAAAATTCCTTCAATTTGAGTCTTATATAGCCATACTTTGAAGGAATCGAAAAATTATTGTGAAATCGTACATTAGACGGCCATTTTGAATTTTACGAGGCTCGAATCAGAAAAAAGATACAATATTTGCAATCTATTCTTAAATGCCTTTCATATGAGTATAATAAAGCTATACTTCAGAAAGATGGAAAATTTATGATTTTTGCGAAAAAGTTCCGTCATTTTTAAAGCGGCAGCCATCTTGAAAAAATCCATTTTGAATTTTCTGAGGTACAAATCTGAAAAGTAATACCATAATTGTGATCTACTCCAAAATTCCTTCAATTTGAGTCTTATATAGCCATACTTTGAAGGAATCGAAAAATTATTGTGAAATCGTACATTAGACGGCCATTTTGAATTTTACGAGGCTCGAATCAGAAAAAAGATACAATATTTGCAATCTATTCTTAAATGCCTTTCATATGAGTATAATAAAGCTATACTTCAGAAAGATCTAAAAATTAGCGAAAATTTCTGTTTTTCTGACCCCCCATACATGGCCCCTGGGGGTCAGGATGAAAAACACTGAATATATGTGAAATAGATAGATGTTTGGAATATATTACCAAAATTTCAAACAATAATATTAATTACTTTGGTTTAGAATGAAAAATTTATGATTTTTGCGAAAGAGTCCCGTCATTTTTAAAGCGGCGGCCATCTTGAAAAAATTATTTTTTGCGTAAAACTATTTAGCTCAATATACATCTTTCCACCAAATATGAAGAAAATCCGTCAACCGATATTTGAGTTATCTTCCGGACGGACAGACGGACGGACGGACGGACGGACTGACAGACTGACGGACTGACGGACGGACGGAGGGCTTCACTATATCCCTACCGAACTTCGTTCGTTGGGATAATTAAAAGCATATTATGCATGGGTCATACATGTACATTGCCATACTTTTGGACTATGTGTATAATCAGTGATTAACAAATTCAGCAGGCATACATTTCTATTGCAGTAATGGAAAAACAATTTTGATTCATTGCTATGCCATGCAAAATTTTAGACCAGGAATTTTACATTGACCGAGCAAATTTTTTTATATGCAGTAGACTTGTTTTTCATCGCTACTTAGTCCAGATTGTTCAAGAAAACCTCGTCTGATTTAGCTTAGTATTCATATGACAAATGGATTGATTTGCATGAGTTACGCAGTAGAGTTATGTTCAGTGACTAGAATAGCATCACACACATTCAAAAGTTAGATACTGTACTTCTTAAGAAAATCCCCGATCATCCTTAAATCATCCTTAAAAAGGAAGGATACAACGTGGCTTATTACGATGCCAAAAAAGATACAAATCTCTTACCCTCAGACTGTGTATATCCAAATGTTTTCTTCAGTGCATTAGCATAAGCATTGAATGCATATATAGAACCAGCCACAGCCATGCCCAGACATCCTACCACCAGGCACAGTGCCCTAAGTACCATTCTACAACGTGACATTGTCCCCTCTGATTGTACCTAATACATGAACACATGTGTGACACAGTTGTTCAGTCTCATTAAAAAAGGTTTCATTTTATACTCATCAAATAACTTTGTGATTGATTTACGAAAGTTGTCAACTCCAAATATTAATTCATTGATAGAATTTTGGAATTTCAAATTACTGAATTTCCTCCTGTAATAATTTTAACAAGATTTGTGCCAGTTGCTTTTTGTGAGTGTTTTGTGATTCAGCTCATGTGACCGTTTCTCTGCTTCCTCCTTTCAATATTTGATCATTTGGTTGATTCAATAACTCGAGTTGAAAAGTATTAACAATGGAGTACATTTATTATCATTTTCATTAGTAATACAATTGAGAATCATAACAAGGGACAGATCATTGGACCATCTTGGGTAAAACAAATTGTCATAAACAAGAAATTCAATCTGATAGTTTTCCAAGTGTTCAGAATATCTCTTTAGTTTTAACGTTAGAAAAGAAAATTTTCACCAGTCTTTCACAAATTTTTTCAGGTCCCCCAATGTTTGGTTCAGCCCTTGGTCAACTGTTTATTACCTCCATTGTCTCAACACTTAGTCCAGTCAACAAGCCAAGGAGAAAATCATCACATGATATACTAATTTGTTCATATTCCTTATCAATTCCCTTGTGTTCTATCAATGTAAAGAAGAAAATATGTAGTGTGTATTGTTCAACTTGTTATCTATCAAGTATTATTTGAGAATCACTTCTGTTCAATGAGATATTAACTCTTTCACATCTGAAGGAGCCTGTACTATCATCAAGCATAAGATAAAGGGGACTCAGAATGATGTAAAAGGTGAAACAATTTGTCAATGATTGAGGGCAGATTTCTGATAATTATACCTTGATATCATAAAACACGCATAATCTTAGTTTCAACTTTCACATCACTACATATTCAATAAATACTAAAATATCTAATATATTTAATTTCATATATATTTATTACATCTTTGAAAAGAACATTGGCTTTTGCATGAACACGACCAAGATAATAATAACAATATGAAGTTTAAAGGTAACATCCTTCCAAGCTCCCATGCATACATTCATAGGCTAGGACACAGATTTAAATAATTTAACTGAACAAAGGTCCTGACAATTCTGTAAATGGTCAGTTCGGAGGGGATGACAATTCTGTAAATGGTCAGTTCGGAGGGGATGACAATTCTGTAAATGGTCAGTTCGGAGGGGATTGAGTTCACAAATGTGCTTAAAAGTTCGATTAATTTTTTTTTTAAAAATATAATACATTTTCAGGTAAATACAGGGTGTCTCCAAACATGTCAATATGAAGTTCTATACACATGTATACAGAAAAACACTTGATGGAAGAGATAAAGGGGCTTGGTAGGATATAAAGGGGCTTGGTAGGATGGTACCTTTCTCAACACTATTTCTTTCATGATGCTTTTTTTATATGATCTGCAAAGGAATAACTTACAATATATAACTTATAATATCCAGTAGAGGTAGCAAAAAACATTTCATGCGTAGTACATATACATGTATATAAAACCCAAATTACATCCAGCATTCTCTTTAACATCTTAATCAGTCTCTTAATCAGCTTAAAATGAATGCTCATATAATAACTTCAGCATAAAATTGTATATAATTACAGTCTGTTTACTTTCTGTCAGTCTTAATCTATATAAAACATTTATCAAAATTGCATTAAAATGATCTAACTGATCTCAAAACCACGCATTAGGATATTTTCAGTGTTGGAGAGTAAAGGAAAACTGTTAAAAAATATAAATCGTCAGCCCTGAGCACATTTTGACAAATTACACCGACATTCATACCATATATTCAAAAGAAGAATCAATTATCTAGTTCAATATTATTCAAAATATCTCCATTTGTGTTCTATGTTCAAATAGGCAGATGAATGTTGCGCTATCTATTTATATATGCAATGTATCAAGAATACAGCTCAAATCAAAATAACTTGTACTTAGGTTTGGTGATATGCAGTCTCTGTCATTTTGTGGCTGCCTTCATTCAGCTGTACATCGTCTAGATACGAGGGAATTCAATAAGTAATGACAACATAACAATCTTATTGAACACCCTTTATCAATAAATACTTTTACATACTGAAAACTAACAATATCATTAACATATAGCTTGCATTTTATAAACTTCAAAACTGGGGGTCTTTGAAAACGAAATCAATATTTGGTAATCTATTCCATTGATTTATATTGGTAGCATTGGGCGCTTTGGCAAAATGGAAATATGAAATTGTTAGATTATCTAAGGAAAGATATTTTAAACTAATATTCCCCAGAATTCATCATTGCACCAATAGTTTGTTTTAGCTTAACTTTTATTTATAAATATTTTGTGCAATTAAAATGTAATCTGATGTATATGTATAAATTGATGATAATGATAATGTCTTCTACTTACTCTAGTTTCTTGTGAAATTAGATCTTTCATAATGTCTGAATTATTTACAATTGGTGTACAATACATATACTACAATGAATCCTTTCCAAAAACTACAATATAATTTAAATCACTAAATATACTACAATAATTATTTACTACAATATCTTATTGTTTATTTTATACTGCAAATCAAGACAGTTCAGTTATATAGGTTTTTACAATTAACTTCAATGTGTGCATCCCTTTGGAATCACACAACAAATATCAACAATTACATATCAAGAAATATGAGGTCGGGTATGTAAAGCTAAAATCAGTGAACATCTCTGAAATCTTTTTCAAACTTAGTAATCAATACGATAAGATCAACATGACAGTTATAGAAAAAACTCTAGCCTTGACAAATATAAAATGTGATTTTATAAAGGAACCATTTCTACGTACTATATTGCAAGAACTTCTTTCAGTGTTGTGAAGTACATAAATATGTAACATATACAGTATAAACATTTATTTAATTTACCAACTCTTCAGCTGTTAACTAACAACAGCTGTGCCATCTATATTTCAAAATAATCACTAATTATAATTAAGGAAAATGAATGGTTGATAACAAGATAATCAAGTATGCGCCAACAGATTGTTTTCCTTTTTTTAAATCCAAACAGAATAAAAAGAGCTCTTGATGGGCTCATAAAATATGGAAGTCTTCATTGTAAATAGTCTTGATTATTTCTTTCTAAATCTGGTCTCACGCTTTCCTATATCTTAATGGATGAACGTCTGTTGATAAATGTTCAATATTCTTCAAAAGGAACTTATATCACCTGAAGATTGCAGCACCATACATCATATTCTAATAACAGTATAATATAATAACAATTCAGCATCCAACCATTTTTTGTAGGTCAGATAAGTTGAGATGACAAATACATATGAGACATAATCACATAAATATGGAATATGAATCATATTTATAGGGAACAGGAGTCACATAAACAAAGAACATTAATCACATAAATATATGTGATAGTTGCGTATTGAACTATAATTGCCTTATGTATAGTTGCTGTAGTCGTTGTAAGAGGTTTGATTTGAACTTCTTTTGTAGTCAGTTCTACTCTCATTTTGTCCTTCATTGGGAGTTCAGCATTCGCTGATTTAGGTGAAAGGTCATCACCTTTCATGCCATCTCAAGTAATTTTGGAATCTGCCACCAGAGGTCACTAGGGGATGTGACGCATACCTTGTTGTAAATGTGAACACTGTTTAATCCGCTGACACCAGATATGCCATCTGGCATAAGGTTTGACCCCCGAGAGTTGACATATTTCCAGCACCAATGAAAGTATTTCTCTTCTTCGGATGATTTCATTATGTGTGACCTTCTACATTTAGAGGCAGGCATATTGTAAGCTGGTTCATGGGTCATCTTTAGGCTATCACCCTCCTGACAGGTAACATCTTCAGGTCTTCACTCCCCCTACAGGAGTCATATATAGGCCTTCAGAGTAGAAACAGACACATGAGAAAGACTATCAGATTCACCTCTGGTACACTAGATGTTCCCCCTGACAGTGAGCCGAAGAGAAGCTTGGGCATCTTGAATGTACTTGAGGGGATCACACCATCACTGAAATAGAGAAGAACACCCATCAATGAACTGGATATGTGTCAGACCAAAGTATAAACAAATGAATGCTTTTCTGATTATTATCTTCTTGGTGACAATTTTGAAATGTTTTTTTATGGAGATTGATTATGAAACATGGGGAGTAACTTTTCAGCAAATGTAGCCATAGGAACAGTTCTAAATATTGCTACAATTTAAACTCAAACTAGTTCAATAGAGGGCAGTCAAATCAAATCTGAGTGTGATGTAGCAAAATAAAGAGTTTGACAGAAGTCAAAAGTCATACATAATGAGGTGTAACACACAAATATAATATCAATACCAACATGGGGTTAATATGGTCAGACCAACCATGTCAGTTAATGGTTTGCCAAGTTATATATCAACCATAAAAATATTATCCATTTCTCTTGTAATTCACTACAAAAACTTCACGTTCACAATGCCTGGTTTATTCAATTTGATTTTCCAATTTAATTTTCAAGAAAGTATTTCATTTGGTTTCAAAATCCATGAACATGAATTCTCAGTACAGTTCAACTTACTTTAAGTGAAACTTTTCATTACTTGTATCTGTATACAGTATATTAAATTACAGGTATCGAATCTACACGCAAGTACCTTGAACTATTATTTCTCAATTGCACCTTTGAAAATGTGGTTATGAAATGAAATGAAAAATATTATCATATTTTTGCATTTCACATAATAAGTGTGGATAAATCATAAGCATAGTAGTTACAGGGTAGGTTCTATAAATCACACTACTTATGGGGTAAATCCTAAAATCATTCTACTTATAGAGAGGCTCTATCTCACTGTTCTCAAATTGCTTAGGTGGAGGGTCTACAAGTCAAATTACTGGGGGATGGCCTATTAATCAGACCCTTGGGAGTAGGGTCTACAAATCATTTTACTTACGGGGTAGGGTCTATTCTGACCCAGAGCTCATTGAAACTCCCTTTCATCTTAGGCTTGACTGTCGCTTCTCCTTTGATTCTTTTCCTTCTGCCTCGATTCTTATTTCTAGACCTTTGACGACTACAAAAAATTAATAAATATTCAAGATTAACCAAAATAATTTCAAATATTGTATGGTCAATTAATAATAACAAACAGAACAGCAATCTGGGAGTTATTTGGTGTAAATGACTGGATTTTAAAGGGATCATATTTCATGTTTCACATGATATTCATATATAAATGAACAATGCCCACTAAGTAAAATAAACATTTAGAATTTAATAAATATCATATGAGGAAAACCGAAGCGATTTTTTTTAGTTATGATAACAGACAAGACAAAGAGTAACATTTAATGTTTCTTATTTCTCATAATTTTCTTTAGATCATATAAGGTTAGAGGTTTGGCTTAAAAAAACAAATTAATTACCCCCCTGTCTGGTGTAAATTCTATGGTTCATTCTCAAGTGCATGATAATTATATAGTAAACGCTTATGAGTATAACCCATAATATGCATGGGCACGTACAGTACATAACATTATAAAGGAAGTACAGAAAATGTGTGGCCTTATATCTTGCAGTATTGAGAGTGGGGTACTATACTCATTGCGTTAAATCAACTTATTGAATAGTTTCCTTAAATATTGATATCTAAGATATAATGTAAAAATATTTATATTTCTTTAATATGTATAGAGCTTTGAGTGGGGTGGGATTATAAAATACAAATGAACTGAATTATTGAATTGATTTCACTAAATATTTGTGCTAGACATGAATTTGATATTTCACTTATTTGCACTCATAGGATATACGATACATCGGCAAATGTCTTGAATTGTTAATCTATGGATATCATAGTTGAATTAGTTTATTAATAAGTTAGTCCAACAATGCATAACTCACTACCAGAGATATTACGGCATCTAACAAGAATTCTATTAATATTTCATAATATTTAGGATAGGGAATTGAAAATTATACAATAGACCCCAACATCAATTATGTGATGTTTAATAATTATTTTCCCTAAACACACAACTGTACTATAACTCTAACAAATGTTTATTTCCACTTAAATTTTCATTTTTTCATTTAATACCAAATACGGTATAACGTGAAATTGGTCAAATTACTTTTTCTTGTCATTGGTCAGGAGCTGAGTGTGCGTGTACTTTTGTTATTAACAAACAAGTGTGTAGTAGAGACTTCTTAACACTATTGACATTTTATCTTAACATGCACCTCAAATTCATGTATGATCGCAAAATCAATATTTTAGAATATTTCTAGGGATTTAGATGCCATATGAATGAAGGAAAATGTGTGGAAATCGGCAGTGCCATATGGACTCTTTTACTCAAGTTACAACTGCATATATTCTTTATATGGGGTATGAAATGTGTCTTATGTTTAATAAACACTGAAATGCTGAAACCAATTTGTTAGATTTCAATTAACTTGATATTATGTAGATATCGCAAATTTGTTAAGTTGTTGTAAAGTAAATAACATACACATTGAGAGATTGAAAGAAATACAATAGCAATGTACCTCAATTAAAGTAAAATAAAATCATGATTGTTAAATCTTATTTAACATTCCCAAAAATTTTATGATTTGCCAAAAAATGCACTCAACAGTATCTACTTGAATTAAACAGGGATTTATAAATTGAAAAAAATCTATTACCATGCCAGTTTTAAATCTGAAATCACCACCTTTAAGATGGTGGAATAATTTGTGGTATGTATTTATTAAATCTCTCTCGTCTATACCTTTCCCTTGGTCACATGCAAACATCATGTAGTACATGTAATGTACATTACTCAATATCACTTAATTATCATGCAATTTATGTGAGCGCAAATTTTGGTGCAATTTCACCTACATTTCTACTTTAAAATTGCCTCACATTATTACGGGAAATGAAACACATTGATATAAAAGACAACATACACATGCAAAGTACAATATATCTATACTCTTGAAAAAAGCAAAACAAGTACCAACAAGAAAGAAGATTTGGATCCATAAAACAGAAAAACAACATTTTAACAGGCACACCAATTTTGAAAAGAAATATATAAATGAAAAAAATCCAGACGAAATAAAAAGGACTTGCATTAACAATGGTCATAGCAAAGTAGCAAAGTAGTAGGTTAATCCCAGAGACAACTTTTCATTAAGGTATTAACCCCCCCCCCCCCCTACCTCTTTTTCCCTGTTTTATGGATCCAAACCTGTATGAACATATGATGTCCTACCTAGATTTTCGCCTAGGGGTATAATACTGTGGATAGTGACCATTTACAATAAGGGGTGGCATAGGGAAAGAGGACATGTCTGACATTGGGAACATATTGTTGCTCGCATGCTTCTTCTTTTTATGTCGTTGTTTGGTTTTTCTGTAATAAAATAACAACATTCATCTAAATAGGGTCAAACCACCAAGGAGGGAGTCGGGCCTTGAAATAATCTAAGTTCATATTTCTAAATATCATAATTTCAAGATAAATAAAAAAAATACTAACTCAAGATAAAATAATTCAGGAGTAAAAATTATCAAAAATACATGGGATAAAATTGATGAAATAATAATAAAATAAAAATGCAAACATATTATATTTTCTCATTTAGAAATCATGAAATTAAAATTCAACTTCAATATATGGTGAACTTAAATATTTTCAAAATTTAGCCACGGGTGAGAATAAGAATAATTATGCATCTAATTGAATCATCTGGTCAGGAACTCCATTGAATGGCGATTGACCTCCATTATTATGCTGATGAGGATTCAATTAAAGGATAATGTAAATTCCAAGTGCCATTGCCAAGATTCATATAGGTGTTTTGTGCCACATGTATAATTCTGTCCAAGTGTCACACTGTTATAATAAGAGAGAACTGGTAAACTACATCATACTACCACATATCCATATAATTATTGAGCCAGACACATTTTTTCAAGTGCCAATATATTTCATGAGTGTTGTGTATTGGAAGTTTCTGGATAAGGGGCGGTTATCATGAAATAGAAAGATATTATTTCGAAATGTTCGAAAATTGATAAATTCAAGCCTATTTCCGGTAGTGGGAAGAATCTTTACACATTAAACCATTACTAGTTTGACTGTCTAAGTGGAACACCTTTGATACATCTTAAAGGTGTTCTACTTATAGGGGTTCATTTAAAATTACTCTGAAAAGTGTTCTGCTATCAGAGGTTTTCTACTTCTAGAGGTGTTCCACTTTACAGGTTTCACTGTACTAAGAATGAGAACAGTTCCAGTCAACACTTGTCTGTCAACTATTTAGATTATTTGACTTACAAATAGATCTTTCCCCTTATACACAATGTGGTGTTCTGAACTTTTCATTCAACACCCCCTAATTTAGGAGGTGTATATGTTAAGCTGTAACCTGTTTCTCCATTGGTGTTGAAGCTTCAGAATCTGCACTTGCAGAATCCCTCAGTTCTGGCAGAGTTAAAATAGTTATGTTAAATTTTTAAGTAATATTAAAAGTCCCTGATATATAATTGTCAACCCCAAACAAAACAGGCTAATTTGCTGTTAAAAGGTCAATGTTTATTCTCAGTAATCCACAATAACTCTGGCTGTCAGTCAAAGTTCTTTTCGGGATTTAACAAAAGGATTTCTGATTGGTTGCATACAATGACACGGTTCATTTGACAGAACTAATGTACCCTTAACTCGCTGACGTAGGCTGTGGATCAGAGATTCATACTTTTTCGAGTTGGATGGTCACAATATGTAAAACATTGAATATGTAATATGTTGAACTGTATAATTCCAAACTGAAGGGTACTTAAGTCAATTCGGCAAATCTTTGGACTTATCCTTGGGGATTCTGGGAATCCTTTTTGAGAAGGGACACACCTCATTAATGGGAACCAGTATGAGTGAAAGAACCAATGGAATCATCTTGACAAAATCTATTCACTGAACTCAACAGTCCAGAAGTAAAACCACTTGTCCTACCCCGCTTCAAAAGTTAATCAGTTTAGTATGCTAACTTTGCGCATATCAAAGTCAAAACAATATTATTTGTCCGCTCATAATCTTGCATGTTATAGCACTGTATGGCTAAGCAGTCGGTCAATCCCTACTAATGATATTATATTAATTTTTGCTTTGAAATAATCACTTGGAAATAAAAATATACATGATATGGCATAGTTATTAGAGACCCCTAGACACATGTAATATATTGACAATAACCTGGCAATGGTGTATGGAAATAATAATCTTATGGAAACCTACCACATTAGCTTTCTAGATGTAACTAGAAAACCTATGTTTGGTTTAACTAGCACCAAATCTTACAACAGAAGTACAGTACAACAGTAAATAAATATGAATGAAACAAACATTCAAACAATTGAAATAGTGCATTCGCTGTATTATATACAACAACTTAAAGCACTACCGAATACTGAAACCTCAAGCTCTCCATCATCATCTAACTTTTGAATGATCTTCAAACTGAAAATGTATTTTTAATATAACGTCATAGACTCTAAGACATTCCAGTCTTTCCCACTTTTCAATTTCTAATAATACAAAAATGCATACTATTATTGAACAAAAGTCAATAATAGTATGCAATGTTTGATTCTGATCTGTGAGTTATTTTTAGAGCAAAAACTGAACAGAGAGCCTGAGGACTGTATCAGAATTTATGTACTTTATACAAGAACTGTGCCATAAGTTATGTGCCTTCCACAAGGACTGTGCCATAAGTTACGTGCCTTTCATGAGGACTGTACAATAAGTTATTTGCCTTCTACAAGGACAGTGCTTCAAGTTGTATTCCATAAGATACTTGATTTAACTGAGGACTGTCCCATAAGTTACATGCTTATAAATTACATACCCTGAGATTTGAGTGTCTGGTGAGGTATGTTCTACAGAGAATCCTTGTTCCCGCAAGCGGTCAATCACTGTGTTATTGCCTAAGAAGTGACCTGGAAGAATAAATTACATGTACTTGGACATATGTATACAGTACATATTTAAACAGGATTTTCTAATGTAACAATAATTATTGAACAGTCCTTGTATTTCAACACTTTTAAAGTACTAATTATGCAAGGATTTTATGTGTTGAGTAAAGAATCCTTACATTTTCCAAAATGTTGACTGAGTAATAATGCATAAATATATTGATGTGTTGGCAATTCATTAGACATGCCTTCAGACATAATAAATATTGAAATAAAATTCTGGCAGAAATGTTGATATACTTTCACCAGATGTAGATTTGGAATAAACATTGATGTATATTATATATTTAGAGTTAATCAACTTTAAATGCAATGAAAACAAGAAACCTCAGAACTGTAGAAGGGGGAGGACTGTATGCAGAAATTCATGAACATGTCCGAACAATTTATTGAAATGATCAATATTGATCTAATGGACTAGGAAATAGTTTTTGATGTTTTCGAAGCATCCTGTATAATTTTTCTGCTGCGTTTAACGCTTGGTCAGATCAATTTTTCTTCGAAAGAAAACATTACGTTCTCAGCAGAAACAGAGAGCCTATGTTTACAATGTACTCTTCTCTCCTAATTGGCCCAGACTTTCTAATCTAAGAGTGGTGGAATTTTTCGCATGTCTTTGGATAAGTTTTCACATTCTTTCTAAATACTTACAAGGTGGTCATAGTATCACTATCCTGAATTTCTATCAGTTAATCAAACTATACTTTGACTATTTCAAATATCATATAGGTCATGATTAGTTCCTAAAATGGGGCACAAAAAACAAAAGTAACTTAGATTTGTTAACTGCTCGTTTCAAAGATTTTTTCTTCAAAAAGTTCATATTTTGTTATTTTTCTTTCTTTTAAAGCATTCATCGTTCAAAATTTTGTTTCTATAGGTCTATTGACTGTGAGATCCAAACAATTCTTAACAAGATGAATATAATTAATTCCCAATCAATCTTGTTCAAGTATTTACTTGTGGGTGACCAAATATAGTCATTCATCATCATTTTAAGCATTAATCATATATGGACTCCACACAAAAAATGTTTATTACAAAGCATCTTCAACTGGTTGACAAACGTAGTAATATTCATCAATGACAGACAGTAAATATTGATGGCCCGTTAACGGATCTTTCACTTATTACCACTTGGGTCTGTCAGACATTTTCAAGTCATTAATAACCAAAGATCAAAAAGTAAAGTCTTTCAAATATATATGTATTCTACTTTGAACTAGTATCTAAATTCAAAGAACAATGTACATTGAACCAGTTAAGACAGACTATTTAGCAAGTTGATACATCAGCTTGTATGGCATGATCTATAAAGAGCTTATCAAATGCTAATCTAAAGGAAATCATTTGAGAATCGTAAAAGTCATTTGGAGAAATCTGGAGAAATACTAAGTGGCTCAATGTTTACATCTTATCCTCAAAAAACAATTGCATCATCAATATATTTTGATATGGACCTTCTTTTTTGTTACTATTAAGATTGAGATAATATACAGTGAAACCTGTATATTCAAACACCTCTCTAATCTGAACACCTCTCAATGTGAACACTTTTTCTCGTGTTTAAAAGACCTTGAAATGCGAACACCTACTAATGTGAACAATTTTGGTCAGTCTCACTGGTATTTGGATTCAACAGGTTTTACTGTATTACATTCTAAAAATTCTAAAGGATGTACACACTTCATAGTATTGGCACTTTTCCATGTTGCTTACTGGATAAACATTTCATAAGGTTTAATGGTTCCGAAAAAAAGTTTTGTATCATAGAACATCACAGTAAATGTATAAATTACAGGTTGCGATGATTTTTGAGAGAGTTCGAGCAAGTTTAATCTATGCATTGAAGAATGAAAGTAGAAGACGGCAGAACAAATTGCAGTAATTAGACTCCTATATGTTTCTCCAACCCATGTACACTTCAATTACACATGACAAGTTTTGAGATCATGAAACATTAAGGCCAGTCAAGACCACACAATGTAGAGCCTTCTTTAAAAGTTCCTCTGCTAGACATCTAGGACTCCATGTCCAAAAGAGACCTTTTATTCTAATGCCACTTAGAGTTTTGAGAGTAAACATGGCTGAAAACATATAACGCCCCCTATTGAGATGTCATAACCTTTCATTTGAAAACCTGACATCTTCTTTATTTCAAATCACAATAAGTTCAATTACCAAAGTGTCCTGTTTTTTTAGATACATTCAAATATGGCTTTGTTTTATAGAAACGATTTTCGGTTTGATTCAATTTTTTGTCAGACGATCAAGACCGCGTCTAGACCCAAGTTCCGCAAACATTTCTTCATTCCCGTTTATAGCAGCCTCATAAACTGAATTCCAAGCCATCAAAGATTTAATAGATCTACTGTAATATAATTATAGGAATTTAACAGGAAGATTTATTCATTTACTGTGGTGAGTCACTGTGGTCCGAAATGAATTTAGACGATTTAAATATGGGGCTGGTATTCAGATGGTTGGCAATTGGCCCCCTGAGTGCTATAATTCAATTAAAGCATAAAATTCTGGCGCTTTTGCTTTCTGGAGTTTGTTACCCGTTATTGAGTGCTACTTGAAAACCACAGACTATTTTCTTGAAGATTTGTAATTGTTATGCATCAAGTATATGATTCCAAGTATGAAGAAAACCTATCTGAATGAGAGTAAAGTCATGTTTTTGATATATCAAAAGATAGTGGGTGGAAGAAAAGGATACGATTTTGGCATTGGTTCCTTGTTTGTTCAAGAATCACTTTGATGTGTGTAGATCAAACATAATATTGGCACCCGTAACTCTCATCATTCCTTTGTGACTTCTAAGAAAGGTAAATCTGTTTTTTATCAATCCCACACTTAACATTGAAATCAATGCTAAATCTTTGATAAGCCCTTCTAATGGCAAATCAAGACATTTTCGCTCGGCTTCACAGAGAGATGTTAACAGTAAGATATGCCGGTGTGAACATGTTTTAGAGATTTGCTGAATGCGTACCTTCAGATGAAAGTTCGATGTATCATCGTTGATTAGAAAAGCCTACCTGTAAGTCAACGCTAATAAATCGCTGTCAGGTGTAAAAGTGGCCTATCAATACCTTCTTTACCGTAATATAAAAAGCAGATTGAATAGTTCCTTTGAGAGAGGAATCTACGAACGATCCCCCATGAACAATCCACATTGAGATCAAAGACACTATAATTGACTTCTGTAAGATGAACTAATCTAAAACAAACAAGCAAGAAACAACCCGCTATTTTCAGATTTTTCTATTATAGCTCTAGCAGGATGTAATTCAAAATCTCCCGGGTAGATAACAACAACTATCCAACTTTTTAAAACAATTTTTTCACGAAGATGATGATGGATTCATACAAGTATACAGCTCCAGATAAATATGATCAATTATGTAATTAGCCCTAGTTGAAGCAGTTGCCGCAGTGGGGGATTTCTTGAGGTTATGCACTCAATTGTACTTTGCTAGGATACCTTATTTGAGGGTTGTTCAATCTTTAACACATATATTTTCTCTGAGGTTGTTCAATCTTTTACACATATCTTTTTGTGGGTTGTTCAAATCTTAACCCATATCTTTTCTGAGGGTTGTTCAATCTTTTACAGTTATATTTTTTGAGTGTTGTTCAATCTTTACATTATCTGTCTGAGGGCTGTTCAATCTTTTCCAAATATTTTATCTGAGACTTGTTCAATCTCTTATACATATCTTATCTGAGGGGTGTTTAATCAACATTATACATACATCTTTTCTGAGGGTTGTTCAATCTTTAATTCATATCTTTTATGGGGCTTGTTCAATCCTTTACACATATCTTATCCGAAGCTTGTTCAATCATTAAGTTGTTCAATCTTTTACACATTAATACTTTACATACCTGCTCCAAATGCGAAAAAGAAAGTTTTCTTTGGATGACTCTTCAATAGCTGCATGACCCGTTCCGCCATTCTTTGGTTGCGTTTATAAATAAGCTCATATCTAAAGTAAGTATCTATATCTGTTGCTGTATAACTGTCCCCACTGGAGATATTGACTAGTTTCGGCACCTGTGACGTGTCATGATTAAATATTACTGCATTTAAGTCACCGCAGTTATAATGTTTTATAAGATCGCCAGTTGTATAAGGTACGGGATTCCTAGCCAGTCGTATTTTCTCATGCTGGTACAGAGTTTGGTTTAAAGCAAATACCACCTGAAAATATATGATCATTTTTTAAACATTTACTGGAAACAGAGTAACATGCATGTACATAGGGTTATATTGTACATAGGGTTATCAAGTTCTAGCATGAATTAAAAAAATCAATCTTAGATATAATTTCATCATCGCAAAAAGATATCGATGAAAAGAATCAAAAGTTCATCAAAATTGCTAGAGAAACCATACATTTGAGAGGGCAAATATCGTTTTGGGTGAGAAATACTATAAAAAACTCAGTAAAATACAATGTGTTCAGATATGAATACCTTTAGTCCACTGATACCACTCATATTAGCAAAACTTGCAAAATAGGATCATAGACACTTTTGTGGAAATCCTTACTTTTAACTAATAACAAGTAATAACTAAGACCCAATTAATATGGAACACATCTTGACACAAATATGATAACAGCTAAAAGTGCATTTTGAAAAATATGATTTTTACAAATATATATGGTCTCATATGCCCAGAAAGTAGCCTGCTAAAGATAACAAATATATTTCAAGTGAATCAATAGTTTTTAACCTCACTCTTTTTATCTTAAACATAGCACTCAACGGTATAAAATCGTAAAAAGACTCGCATTTTGTTTTGTTTTCTATGAACTGAAATAACATTTAAATTCTACAATTTCAAATCAAAGCAAAAAATACTATATTTGAGAATGCATTTTAACTTATTTGACCCAAAGCAATTATCGGCTTGTATTTCTTCAAGAAGTTGAAAATTCATAGGCATCAGATCAAAGTAATATAATTAAAGGTGATTCAAATCAACCCAAGGCTAGATTCTCTAATTACTCTTTGAAATAAACACACCTCTTGAATACAAAAAAATCAATAGTAATAAAAAGCTCATTAGACGATACTAGACAATAAAGTAATTGAAATATTATCTTTTTGTGCCACAAGCAAATGTACAGTAGATCGTATACTTCGACTTGCAATGACAAAATACCATGTTGGTCAATTTATCTTGAAACTCTTAAAGCTAGACTTTGAAAAATGGAGATCTCAGTCTATTTATCTAAAAACTCAAAGATCAAGAAAAATGACTCTTGGGTCAATTTATCTTTAAAATACTTCAGATCAGACAGAGAAAAATCATCTCCTTTGAAAACCTTAGAAGAAATTTTATGACATCAAGTCACCAAAAATAAACTTTTAACTTATTGAATAACATTACAAAATGCTTGAAAAAAATCAATTTCTGATATCACACATCCCTGATATATACTCAGTTTGAAAGAAAGAAAATTGAATGTGATGTAATCTTAAATATATCTACAGATGTCTAGCATACCATCACACCCAATGAAAGTCAAAGCGACCCATTTAAATAAATATTATCCCAAAGTCATGTTTTATTTATTTGGTTCAAGATGTAACAGCCCCCACATAACCAACAACCGGAGCCAATTTGTTTAATATCAAAGATCAAAGGAAAGGATTCCGATATGACTTATAAAACAGGTGTAGATTCAACAGGTACCCCCAGTTTGTATTATACCATATCTCTCATTACATTCAATGATAAAAGTAACTCTATGTACCAGTAATATAATTATCTGAATACTGCATATTTCTTGAACAGAGCACCAAGGGCCAGCCTCCGAGGTGTTTATCATCTATACCATTCAGCTTTCACAGGTGTAGCATATAGGTAAGATATACTTTGAAGAAAATAATGAATATTCGCTTATCAATTACCCTGCCCTTACAGACTACTTATAAACTACTCTCTGCAAAGGGTAATTATCAATCCAAATGATTCTAAATCAAAAACATATAAAACCACAGATCTTCTAACAGTTAAATCTTACAGATGTTATCACATTCCCGCTTTGAAATGTCAACCTTGAACAATTAAATACTCAAGTTTAAGAGGTACAAGTATGCTTCAAAATCAACTTGACAAAACATATCTAGGTAGAAAGAAATATGACATATACATCACAGTAAAACCTGTATATTAAAAATACCTCTCTGATCCTAACACCCCTCAATGTGAACACTGTTTCTTGGTCTCAAATTTGTCATCTCTGATAGACTCACATATAAAAAACTTGAAATGTGAACACCTGCTAATCTGAACACTTTTGGCAAGTCCCAGTAGCAATCGGAGTAGACAGGTTTTACTGTATTTACTTCTTCAAGTTTCTTGAAGTTGATGATGTTTAAGGCTAGCAGAAGATTTACATACTTTTAGTTAACATTATCAAATAAGGAGTTTGTGAAAATATAGAAATCTTTTCTATCATTTTATTTCAACAATGATCAAAATTATATCGAGTGAATAAGTTGGTTAAAAAGTGCCATCATCCATGTTTCTAAGGGGAGAGATCATAACTTGCAAAACTAATTAGTACTACTGTAATAAATAGTATGTACTCAGCATCATGGCGTTCTATTTAGCTTCTTTCCCTGTGATGAGTATCAGAATGGGTACTCAGGGAGGGGGGGGGGGGGGGGGGTGTTAATTTAAATATTCACAACAGGTTGTCACTTCTCAATAAATAAGCCTAATAAACACAAATCTAACATGTTCACTGATGTACCATATGGCCAATGGGACACCATGTAGAGAAACTTGGAAATAGCGGTCTGAAAAAATACAATATAAATTGATCACATAAGACATAAAAATCGTGTAACTAATCTTTTCTCTCAATTAAGTAGCTACAAATGTACTTGGTTCCTACTTGCCTAATTTTAAACCTTTTGGGTTCCACACATCTTCGCACTCTCAAGGTTTATGACTGATGGGAGCCGAGTGAACAAAAATGGGTTCCACAGTCTCTACTGTCTTATGCACTTCAAGAGAGCAGAAAAGATGAAGCATTAGATAAAGGGGTTACCTTGAAAAATGAGAGCATGGGGTCAATCGATATTTAAACTTAGAAATCCTTCCTGGTTTTTTATTAAATATTTAGAGAGAACAACCCTTTTAAAAAGTCAGATTTCACTTCTAAAAGTTATTAATCTGGGCTGTCTGAGCACCAGGGTAAGATAGCACTAAGAGGAACAATCAAATTCAAACAAATTGGCATACAAACTAAAGTGCAAATATAAATGGTTGGTAGACCAAATATGCCCATTATACACCCAAGCTATTAAACTACTATAACATAGCTTGCTGAGGTGCATCCAAGACCACTGCATGGCAGAAGCTACAAATCATCTCAATCTGGGGGATCTCAGTCTAGCATATAACATCAATGAATATGCTACAAATTGAGGAAATTCCCCATTCATTTACTACCCTTCGCAAGAGCTGGGCTTTATTTACACTCTCAAACCAACCATGTTTTCTTGGGAAAGTCAGTTAAACCGTTCCATTCAATAATTCCTAATGAGATGTATATAAGCAACATAATAGATAATGATGGATAATAAATTATATATTTAGCCAACTTTTATTCAACTTTTTAACTTCATACCTCCCAAACAAGGTGCACATGTATTTTGTTTGATATATTCCAAGAGGAAAACTTAAAAAGCAACAAATAAAGACATCAATTATAAAGTAGATATTATAATGTGCTACCACCCTGTTGGTCAAATGTCCCCTGGGCCATTAATTTGTAAATATATGTATCCCGTATTTGGTACCCTTATTAACCCTGGGACATTACTGCCTATTAAATTATAATTTATTTATTTTACAATTAAAGAATGAGAATTAAATACTGACATTTATTACTGACACTCGCGATTGATTCAAAAATTATTGGTGAAAACAGCAAAACTGACCAATAAAAGCAAAAATCTCCATGGTGAGACCTTTAATAAAATTCTATTAAATCGATCAATTTCATGGAGATCACAAAATTTGATCTTCAAATAGCAATCATCTTGAATGTCATATTTGAGTTAGTATCCACCCCATACCCATCCTCCCATGGAGGGACAAAATAACTGAAATGTTTGTACTTGTATGGTTCTCGTTGAATTAAGCTAAGAGTAGCCAGAGAGTCTGCAATGAGCCACAGTGGTCATCTACAGAAACGCCAAGTTGGATCATAATCTCAACAAACCAACAATAGGTTGCTATGGGGTCACATATCTCAAGAATTTAATTTATTACAGATTCAATCATGGTATTCCTTTGTGTATTATACTTGCTTGTAGCCAGGTTTTACTAAGGGGAAGCTTTTGCTAAGGGGGAGAGAGCTCTTTTACACTTTTGTCTAAAAGTTCATGCGAAAAGTGCTCAGAATGGTGAAATGTACAGAAAAAGCTTTTGACTTGCTCCCAAAATCTGGGGTCCACAGGATTGGTTCTAATTTCTTGATTTATGATAATTTGTGGCTGATTTATATATATGCCAAAGAGATCAATTTCTTTATGTGGTCAGAAATGACTCTTGAGGCATGCCACTATACCAGCTCTACACTCTTGTGGTGATACAAGTGCATGAGCAATCCCAGAATTCCCAAGACTCTCCATGAAGATGTGGTATCTGATTGGTCAATCCAGATATGTGTAACTGGAGATGGTACATTGTTTATTGTGATAGATTCCATACAAAATTCAAAATTTTATCTTTACATTGATATACTCTAAGGATATTATTATCAAAGATGCATATCAAAAAAATATTAAAATATCTTACAAAGTGACAAAACCGAAGACCCTGTGGCTATAAATAAATTACATTGTGCAATTTAACTACAGTCAAACCTGTCTAATCTGAACGCTGCTGGGACCAACCAAACATGTTCGGATTAGCAGGTGTTCACATCTTAAGTTTTTCAAATATGTGAGCAATGAGAAATAACAAATATGGGACTGGGAAAAGTGTTCAGATTGAAAGATGGTTGGATAAGTAAGGTGTTCGGATATGCAGATTTCACTGTATTAAACCACATGTGTGATTTTTCAAAAAGTAGATTTATTTAATAAACTGTGACAGCTAACAGGACTTGTCAATATAATATTATATAATCTGTACAACTAAACTGAGGTTTACCACAAAATTGGTCCATT